CTAACCCCAAGGACCCTTTCATTATCCAGGCTGATGTCAGTGATGTAGCCTTGTGTGCAGTGCTCCTCCAGAAAAATAGGGAGGGGAAAACATACAACCATGCACGTACACATCCAGAACACTCACTAACCTTGAAAAGCATTGGGTAGCATGGAAGAAGGAGCCTTTTCCATCCATTGGGCATTATTAACCTGGCACCATTTTCTAGAGGGCAACAAAGTGGCATTTGAATTATGGACTGATCACAAAAATCTGGAGGATTAGGTCCCCTTGGAAACTCTCACCCAAACAAGTTCAGTAGGTGCAGTACTTTAACTGGTTTGATTTCACTCTAAAATATATTTCTGGGGGAAAGAACTTCCTGGCTGATGCCCTATCCCAGATGCCACAGTACAAAAGCAGTCACAAAGAAGTGGTCAATTACATCAGTCCCTTCCCTCAAAAGGCAGCACAAGTCATGACAAGGTGGCAAACTAAAAAATGATTGACAGAGCTTAGTAGCAAGTTAACTCTGAAGCTCAGAGCCAAGTTGCAGGCTGACCCCTAGTTTAGGAACAACAAACAGTTCTTGACCTCCAGGAATGGGCTGGCATGGAAACGCCCCAAATTGTACATCCACAGCACCCTCCGGGTCCAAGTTCTGCAGAGGAGCCACAATGCCAAGCAAGTTGGCCACTTTGGGTTCAGGTTTGGTGGCCAGGAATAAGGAAGGACATTGAAAGCTATGTAAAAAGCTGTGTGGTGTGTGCCTCAATGAAAAAATGGTCAGGGAAACTCCTGGAGTACTACAACAAGTACCTGAACCATCCCAAATCTGGGAGTAGATAGCAATGGATTTTATAGTGGAACTCCCGGAAAGTGGAGGAAACAGTGTAATATATATATATATATATGTGTGTGTGTGTGTGTGTGTGTGTGTGTGTGTGTGTGTACAAACCCATTATTAGCTCTTCTGCTCTCCATACACCTCTTTCTTCTACCTCTCTCCTACCTCCTTTCTTCCCTTCATCGTCCTTTCCTACTCTACTTCCCCTTCCTTTCTCCTNCCCAGGTGGTTGTGATTAGGCTCCTCCCAAGAGAGTATATAAGAAGAGATTTTGGGAGGAGACCTTTTGCAGGACACAACCATTATACTAAAGCTGGAGAAGCTCTTGTGTGTATTTCTTATCTGTGGAAGTCTGGGTTGCTGCCAAAGTCTTGTCTGTGAGTTAATTACTGTAAGTAAATTGGCTAATAGTCATCTTGTGTCGGCGTGACTCACCATACCGGGGGGGGGGGTCAGAACATATATGTATCCAAGTGGTTTAAACTTACTAGAGGTAATCAGCCAATATAACAGACAGAGGAGTAAGATAAGAGGGTTAAGAATAGTGAAATCCAAATGAATACAATAGAAGAGGAAACAATATAAGGTGAGCGATATTGATTGGCAATTGCTATTAGAAAGAACAGGAAGCTCCTGTTCATATTGTATTGTGTAAATGTGGTGTATGTCTAAGTTTTGTGTTTGTGTATTTTACATGTTTGTAAATAAATTTTAAAACTAAAAAACAAAACAAAAAACAAATAGGTCCTGCCTTCCCATCCAGGGAGTAGTATTGAGAGGGATAGCACAGTGAACACTCTCTATGTCACTAGTGCATGAACTGACTATGACAGTTCACATTGTCACTAGGTCTGACAAAAAAACTCATGTCTGATATTTGGCCACTGTTTTGAGTCGGACTATGAATGACTTTGGGTTAAGTGCATGGCCTCCATGGTGGTAACAAAATTCCAAGCTGCTTCTGAGGCAAACTCCAGGAATAGCAAAATGAAGTACTCCAAGACCATAAGACTTGGATTGATGACCTCCAGCAACTCAGGCAGTTGCTATACAGCAAGAAGGCTGGTACAGTTGCAACAATCCCAACTGATCCTGCAAACCTATCTTTAGAAACAGGGTCTCACAAGAAGCACAGAGATTCCTCAATAAAGAGGATGTGAGTTGAAATTTGAATTGTATTGATATTTATGGTGTGATAAAGTCAAAGTTAATTTGTATTTTAAAAATAATTATGTTAGCTATGCCATGTTGCAAAATGGAATAGATACAAACCATAGGTGGTATTCAGCATATTCTGACCAGTTCTGGAGAACTGGTAGTGGAAATTTTGAGTAGTTCAGAGAACTGGTAAATATGACCTCTGACTGGCCCTGCCTTCATCTATTCTCTGTCTCCTGAGTCTCAGTTGATCAGGAGAAAATAGGAGGTTTGCAGTAACCTTCCCCTGGAGTGGGGAGGGAATGAAGATTTTACAGTATCCTTCCCCTGCCATGCCACCCAAACCATCCCCACCAAGCCTCACCCACCAAGCCATGCCCACAGAACCGGTAGTAAAAAAAATTGAATCCCACCACTGATACAAATCCAGGTTGTATTGAAAATAAATGTGGGGTTCTCAACATGAGAAGCATTTTATAGACAAGAAATAATAGGCAAACACAAATGGTTAATTTATCATAAGACACTAGAATTTTGTGCAGGAAGAACTGGTGGCAGAGAGATATACCGTATTTTTCGAAGTATAAGATGCACTGGAGTATAAGACGCACCAAGGTTTTAAAGAGGCAAATAAAAAAAGTTTTTGCACTCTGCAAACCTCCCAAAAACGGCCAATTTTTTTCTAAAAGAAGGCATGAATAGCCTTTAGGGGGCTTGCAGAGAGCTCCGGGGGAGGGGGATGAGCAAAAAACAGCCCATTTTTCATAAAAAAAGGTCATGGATAGCCTTTAGGAAGCTTATAGAGTGCTCCTGGGGGCTGGGGGGGGGTAAAATTGAGCCAAAAATGGGCCATTTTTTGCTCATTTCTGTCCTCCCCAGCCACCAGGAGCTCTCTAAAAGCCTCCTAGAGGCTCTGCACGGCCATCTTGGTGAAGGGGGTGGGGTTTCAGGAGGCAAAAAATGCTGTATTCAATGTATAAGATGCACCCAGATTTTCAACCTCTTTTTTGAGGAAAAAAGGTGTGTCTTATACTCCAGAAAATATGATAGTTGTTAATTGTTCTTTTATCTACAATTATTAGAAAGATTTAAAGTAGACAAAATAATCTACTATTGAATATTGTAAGACTGAGTTTGAAAAAAAATAGAATATTGTACAAATAATGAACATGTAATTGCTAAAATGTATATCATTTTATTGAAATTTGGAACAGAAAAACAAGTGAACAAATGCATGGTAAAATGCATGACACATTTAATATACATGCATAACAGTGGAAAAATATGTGGTTGAAAGCACTGAAAGTTATAATTTTAAAGAGAGATTTTATAAAATGAGGTACCATTGATATCTGTCTAGAAAAATTATCTAGAATATATAAAAGCAATTCAAATTTATTCTGGAAATGTGAACAAGTACTGGATACAAATGTGAACAAGAAGAATAATTTTTCAATGGATATGTAAAAAAAAGCTAAAAGATTGGGGATTCAGATACATGCACTGATTGAGAGCATTTTAAAGTTTAATATACAGTAAAGATGTTTACTGCTGACTGGAAATCCCCTTACAGACTCTTTGAATGAAATAGAAAAAAATGAATTTATAATTTCTGATGATTAACTAGAATATAAAAAGAAGAAAGTTATTTTGTATGTGGCAGATCATCACTGAGATCTCTTGCAGAAAGAGCTCTCTCTGGCACTTCAGTATCATTATCTTGTTAATACCTTGATGTAAGATATCAACAAGATAGAACTCTTTTGCAGACATTTAGTGTGCAGATTTGTTAATTAGGAAGAGGCAAGAGCATATACGTGAAACATGTCTCAAGATCTCCAGGCATATGTGCACTTATGAAACAATAGTCCTTATTGCTAAATCTCTAAGAAATTGAAATCAATATACTTATAAACTGGATAATAATTAGAGCTTTTTCCTTATTGAGATTTATATTCATGTACACTGTATCTGTTTTTCTTTCTAGCATTTTTTTCTACAAATGCAGAGTCCACTTTTTTTTCTAGATCAACTAAGTGTTGATCCATTGGCTGCAATGGGAATTCACCAATCAACTTCTTGTCTGATATTGTAGGCTGAGAGAGCCCAAGGTCACCCATCCAGCTTTCATGCCTAAGGCAGGGCTAGAACTAATAGTCTCCCAGTTTCTAGCTTAATGCCCTAACCACTAGATCAAACTCTCACTTATGGACTATATAATAGCCAAAGGACAAAAGCCGTACACATGCAGTTATATACTGAAGATAGTGACTGTGTATATAATCATGTCTGTACCACACTTTGTATGCATTGAGAAATTCTGCATAGGGTTTGTTTGTTTATTTATTTCCTGCCTTTATTATTTTTACAAATAACTCAGAGTGGTGAACATATTCAACATATCTTTCTTCTGCTATTTTCCCTACAACAAGAACAGCCCTGTGAAGTAGGTTGGGCTGAGACAGTGTCACTGGGTCAAGATCACCCAGCTGGCTTTCATGGCTAAAGCCTTGTTCCACAATCAATTCATGTCACCCATCAGAATAGCTTTTCCTCTGAAACACATTAATTCAGAATGTTGTGAAGTTTTTAACCAGACCTCATTTTTATTCTTTTGGCACCATTGAAAAACTTGACATACATTTTAATTTGAAAGAAGCTTCCACCTCCACTTATCTTCATTATTCATAAATCATGTTTCAAAACAAATTTCACTTAGATCTGTTTAATTGTCCCTATTATCGGTTCCACCACAAAACCGCGGTAGACTAAAGCGCGTGTGACTAAAGCGCGGTGACAAAACCGCACNATTGGTCTAGTGGAGGTAATTGGCAGTAGGCGGTCTCTCTCCTGGGATTTCTTGGCTGTTTCTGGCCCAAATTTCATTTCTGGTCCCAAACATGATTCGACCAGGTGGTTAATTTAATTAACATTCATTAATTCATATGTGGTCTCTAAATGGTGTAGCTGTTTGCGTGAACTCTATAAAACTTCTGATCTCTGTTTCGCTTTGCAGTGCCTCCAGTAAACACTACCAACAATGGGAAACGCTGTCCGGTCTGCTATTTAGACACAGGTATCTGTTCAGTGAGGGCAATGGATTGTACTGGATCTGCAACATATTGTTTTGAAGGTTTTATTAAAGGTAATTCTGATAGAAACCCCCCCTCCTCCCTTTTCCTCTGTTCTGAAGTTATTCTTGGTCTTAACCACAGAGACTGAGAATGACCAGAGGTCAGAAATAAGTAAAACATGGTGCTCATTATGGAAGCTTATTTTTTTAATGATGAACCATTAGGTCTCCTAAAATTTGACGTGTTGGTGTTATATATTAGAAAAATGAACAATGACACATCTTTTTGACATGTAAATGCCTTCCTTCCTCCCTCCCTCCCTGCCTCCTCCTCTTCCTCCCTCCCAACCTTCCTTCCCCTACTCCTCCCATTCCTTCCTTCCCTCCTTCCTTCGTTCCTCCCTCCCTCTCTCCCGCCCCCTCCTCCCCTTCCTTCTTCCCTCCCTCCCATCCTTTTTTCTTCCTCCCTCCCTCCTCCCTCCTCCTCTTCCTCCCTCCCAACCTTTCTCCTTCCCTTCCTTCTTCCCTCCCTCCCTGCCTCCTCCTCTTCCTTCCTCCCTCCCTCCCAACCTTTCTTCTCCTACTCCTCCTATTCCTTCCCTTCTTCCTTTGTTCCTCCCTCTCTCCCTCCCAACCTTTCTCCTCCCCTTCCTTCTTCCCTCCCTCCTTCCCTCCTGCCTCTTCCTTCCTCCCTCCCAACCTTCTTTCTCCTATTCCTCTTAAACCTTCCCTCCTTCCTTTGTTCCTCCCTCTCTCCCTCCCCTCTTCATCCTCTTCCTTCTTCCCTCCCTCCCACCCACCTTCCTTCCTTCCACCTTCCTTCCTTCCACCTTCCTTCCTTCCTTCCTTCCTTCCTTCCTTCCTTCCTTCCTTCCTTCCTCTTTTTCTTCTCTTCCCTTCCTCTCATTTTTCCACCTCCAAGTTGGCTACCATGGGTAAATGATTTTGAATGCGAACACTTGGATTAACAATACAAAACAGTCAGATGGCATTTGTGCCCCATTTATCTAATGGGCTGGCTTTTGATTTTCTTTTCTAGATAAGTTGAGGAGACCCATAAAAGGGTGCACCACAGAATCTTCCTGTAATATACTAAAAACCTACAAGAAGCCACTTATTAATAAATTCAGGATCACGGATGTAACCTGCTTCGAACCCAAGATTGTTACCAGCTGTTCCTCTCGTGAAGTTTTCCTCCTGGCTCTTCTGCCAATGAAGCTTTTCTTCTTTAGTGCCTATTGAAGAAAAAAAAAACATTTCTGACTATCCACCAAGAGGCCAGTTAAGTTTGGCACTGCGTTTCCTTTCCCCAGTTTGGCTATTTGGAGATATTTTGATTTTTATTTGAACAAGTCAAAGACCTGGGAGATTGAAAGAAGACCTGACATCGATTTACGGTTCCATCGATGAAGTTGGACCTCGAGACTGCCCTAAATGTTGACACAAGGCTCACATCTTTTGAATGGCATGGGAGATATTTCATTCTGGCCCTCCTTCCCCTTGTTTGATCTCCTCCCCAGCGTATCAAATCTTTAGATTGTGTGTCTCCGTTCTCCAGTCTTCCTGGCATCTCAATAGGGTGGTAGAAACTCAAGCTTTCATTTCAAGGTTGAAGGTCCAATTGTCACAGTAACCCATCTAGATGTCCTACTGAGTCACCTCTTCTCCCTAGTCAACTAAGTCCTCCATTCAGGGTCTTTAACTGAGAAGCAGCAGAAGACACCAGCTTCTGGATCCCAAGCTGCATCTTCTGCTACAACGAAGACAATATTTTGATCTCCCCTCCTCCCAATCAACAACTGACTTTGACTCCTGCTCTTTCCCATCAGTTTAAGATGCAAACTTCCTGCTTCTGGGATACCAGCCAGACAAGTCTTTGAAACGTGAAATGTATCCAAAGTCAAATAGTGTACATATGCTCTTCCTTTTTATGCTTTATGTTTGAATAAAAAGTAATGTTTGTGTCAGTTAAATGAGTAACGATGTAATTTTGGTGAACAGGGGATATTGGTTCCACCACAAAACCGCGGTAGACTAAAGCGCGGTGACAAAACTGCACCGTCAAAACCGCACGACAACAGCGTGCCGACAACAGCGCGCCGATAGAAGCGCGCTGTAACATAACCCTAAAAATAACCCTAAACCTAACGCTAAACCTACCCTAAACCTACCCTAAACCTAAACCTAACCCTAAACCTAACCCTAAACCTAACCCTAAACCTAAACCTAACCCTAAACCTAACCCTAAACCTAACNTCTGGCCTATTTCTAAATTTCAGGTGCTATTTGTTTTTATTAGTTCTCTGTTTCTTTTCCTTTCAGATAGGTCTCATTCCTTTTAATCCTAACAGTGTGTGAAAGACATTTTGTCTTCTTTTGGAATCAAAACTGAATTCCTTTCTTGTACTTGTGGTAATTGTTTGTATTTTACTATTTAATAACCAAGAAAATTGTAAAGATAAGAAGAAGTTGGAAGGCCTGTAACAATCCTACCAAGGAATCCATGACGATGATGGCTGTGCTGAACCCAAAATTATTGAACTGAGCTATAAACAACATTTGTGTTTTATCTCTTAATCCATACCATGGATAGTTAGTGCATTGGAGAAGAAAGAGGTGGATTTAATCCCTCCTTTTACATTGATATACTTTCCATGGATTTTATGGTGAATCCTCCATTTGATTTTCTCTTGAACCCAACTGTTTGCCCTCCATAGTCCTCCCAGTTAGATATTTCTGCTTATGTAGTTCTCTATGATCTTCACAATAATTAATTGATTAATTGAACAATTTCTTGAACAGTATCTTTTGGTGTGTAATGTAAAGTTGATTGGGGTGAGCAAAAGTCATTGATCTAAAATCGTTCCTCAAATTTTTTTAAAAAAATCAGATGGTCCTAAGAAAGTTGGACATGGCAGGGCCCTTCCAAACTGACAGGTAGAAGTGAGGTTTCCTCTGACAGAAATAAATTGGCCCTCTCTACCTGTCTGTCTAACTCTTCCAAGATCTTTTTCTTATTCCTCCCAATTATAGAATAAATCAGGTACCTTGAAAATTCAGAATAACAAAGTAGTCAAGCTTAGATGGGTCTATTTTAAAATGCACATTGATCAAAATGCTTTAGTTTAATCCAGTACACTTTTCTGTGGTGTTACCCACCTTCCTGAGTAGAAATGGTCCCCTCTGGACAAGGAACACAGTCATAGCAGCAAACTGGCTCGCCTTCTCGAACCCGCTTGAAAAATCCAGGACGACAGTTTTCCACACATTTGGACTGAGGCAGAGACTAGTAATATCAAACAAAATATACATGAAAAATGCATATAGACATGAACATTACCCAAGTAGTCTATGGGCTTTACTTAGACAAATATAAAATCTCTAACTAGTTCCAAGCAGCTGTAAGACATATAAGATACAAATACAAGCTGTAAGAAACTGCCAGTTTCTTCATTTAGTTCCTTTTTTTACATCTGACATATCTGATTGCAATAAAGGAATGTTCTATTTCATGAAGTCTGGAGTTTTGGAATCGAAAAAAGGCCCAAGCATTACATGACAACAACTGGATTCCTATCTCACATCAATAGTAATTCTCATTTCATGTAAACTGGGCCTCCTTCCTAGGAATAGAAGGTTTTTTGGTAAAAGGGTGAAACATGGGTAACTTTGTCAAAATCTGGACTACTTAAAACATCACTGACTATGGATCTTCTCTTTCAAGGGGCATATTCCCCAACCAGGATGAGCTGAATTCTTATTCCAAAGCTTATTTCTCACTGGGACTAGCAGTACCTCCTCCAGTCTAGATTCAATTTCATCTGGTACAGTCCACACCTGAACTCAGGCACTGGTCAGAAGAACTGCCTTCTAATTTTCTATTTGAGGATGAGTGACGAGTGAACCTGAGGCTATCGGCACCATGAACCCCATCACCAGTTTTATGGTAGTACAAGATTTCAGAGGGGAACCAAAAGGGCCATGATCTGTGTCCTCAAATATAATCACCCAGAATCCCATGTTGGACATAACTGAATCAGCTTAAAACAGTGATCCATATTATAGCATCTGAAGAATACCTTGGTCTGTAGTACTGAAGCCTCACAAGCAGTCTAAGAAAAAATCAGGTTACTACTCCCCATATTAAATTCTCAGTGATCATCCACCTTGGTGGCCAGGCTTAGCCCACTTGATCTGGGTCCTAAGCCTTTGGAAAATAAGAGAAAAGACACTGAGAGTTTTCCCACCTTGTTGAGCAGCTCTAGCCGTGAGATAACATCTTGGTTGACAATAAGTGTCTGTCTTTCGAAGCTCCCTATTTGCTCTTCAGTGGGATCCTCCTCAGGGAGAATCACCGAGCTCATGATATTCAGATCTGCTGCTATATCTCCCTTTTGGTCCAGGTACAGATTCAGATGGGAAAGATTACACAATTCATTCTTCTTCAGAAAGGGATGGAACTAGATTGAAAACATCAAGGAATTTTAAGAGCAAAAAACCTCGGTTCCTTATCTCAAATGGCCTTTTCACATGTGAATCTATCTTCTACAGTTGTCTAATTTGCAAACATTCTTAGCTGGGAAAACAAATCTTACCACTCTTTTCAAAGGTGAAAATAAAGGTTCAGCAACATTTGTCAATCATATGCTGACAAAATATACATTCACAATATATCATTGGCGAAATTTATCAGTTATAGGGAACACTCCAGAGCAGGGGACAAATAAATTCAACAAATGAAAAGATTATTCAAAAATTCCTGGAAAACAATGAGTGAGTTATCAGACACTATATAGGTTTGAAGAATAAAGTTGCCTGGTTAATCAACAATCAGATGAGCTAATTCTATATTATTGTAAGGCTACAGTAACAGCATCTGTAAGTATAAACCTCCCACCAACTATTTTTACAACCTGAAAAGTTGAAGAGGATCCTTTCTGAGTTCCTTTCTGAGTTTCTTTCTCTACCTGTTATATACATGTAGGCTGCACCCATCTTATTTGATCATTTGTTAGCATCTCTTCTCCCTGTCTCAAAAGTCAATCTCACATGGCATTGTATTTTCTTAATAGATTGTGGAAATGCTGGCAATATGACTTTGTTTCAACAAGGTATTAACAACTTCCTGATTTGATGATTAGGAATCCAATTTAAGTGAGGCCTGGATGGTGTGATAATTTAATGAATAAAACTGTCCTAAAATTGGACTAAATTATTTTTGAATGTTGCTCATGAAACTAGAAAGTTATAAATGCAATTAGTCTTGGTATAAATATTGCATCATATCATTATGAATTAACAACCCTACTTCTTCTATATTTTGATTAATATAGATAGGAATAGTTTATAAATCATGAGTTTGTGATGCAATATGTATACCAACTTGTAGACTAAGTTATTTTCATGTATGTCAAAAATATCAAGCTTTCACAAAAATATGTAAAATTTCATGATAGAGAGAAGTGCACAAGTAAATATTTGATATTTAGCTACTAGGACTAGACAAAGTATATATATCAGCATGTAGTCCAGTTGCTAGGTGACCTCAGTTTCCACCTTTCAAATACCTGCACCAATGTCCTTGATTCCCAGGGGAAAGGATTTCATTTTGGCTACGGTACCCCAGATATCTCTACAACCCCCTCCCTGTCCCCTTTGCTGCAGGATATGTCATCCCTGAAGCAATGAGAAGAGAAATCTCTAGAGAAAAGCTACAAAACGAAAATGACCATAGTTTGACCAACTTCAGGGTTGATGGTTCTCCTCATTATCCTTTGGATTTCTTCCTAAAAGGAATTAAATTAGATAGTTCCATGTTGAGAACCTGTACCTGCCATGGCCATATCCTTGGAGCCACCAAACTCGCTTCACCCTCCTTCCTTCTCCTCCTGGATCTGGAGGAATATGCAGCATTCAAGGCATGGGCCAGAGTCTTAACAATACTGTAAAAATTGTGGTCGTTTTGAACCAAGATACAGTCTATTAACTCTTCAGTCTCCACTGATGCTTTCTGTATGCATCTTCTCCGGCCTTTGACAGAAAAGGCATCTTTTGAAGAAGAACAGTGAAAACAGCGATCTTGAAATTGGGGTACCCCAAAGAAAAAGGATTCCAAGGCATTTTCATTTTGCATTTTTTTTCTTTGATAAACAAAGGTCCAGATACTATGGATGTATTTGTAAAGTTCATTCATCTCTAGTTTCCATTCCCAAAAGGTCGAGATGACCCAGATTTTTCCTTCAATAGGTCCTGGCAAGCCATCAAGTGATGAATGGATGGGGTGAATTGCATCTAAGATGGTACCAATTCTGATAAAGTAAACAAAGACATTAACTTGTCTCCACTTAGAAACTGGACCCCTTAGGGGTTCTATAGATGTGGTGGGTGTGAAGAATTGTGATATAACAACACAAATTCCATTCCTGACAAGTATAGGAGTCAATGCCCTCATGGAATTCTGTCCTTCCTCTGTGTCTGAAGCAAAGAGACCAACCAAGGTCCATCTGAAATGGAGGAGCACTTGGACAATTGCTGGGTAGTGGACCCCTTCTTTGGGGGCCATCCGGTAGAAAAAGGGGAATTGACTTCTATCACTCAGAGTTTGTGAAGAAGTTGCATAAGAGATCTGAGAAAGTAATTAATGCTGTGTTAAACCGGGAACAGATCAAGTACAACATTTTAATTTTTAATAAATCCAACATGGTTCTCATCAACACATTAGATTAGTTTATTATTTATTAGCCATTAGGCCATACCAAGATACAGAATGTAAAATACAGGATATTCATAAGAATAAATAAAATAGAAAACATATGTATAATGGAATTGAAGAAACA